AAGAGGGGGGACAACTTTCCCACAGTCCGTTTTAGTGATTTCTTGTGGAGATGCTTCAGCCGTGTGTTCCACTGCAACTTCAACTTGTAAAGAGGTCTTTTCCTCCAACGGCTCCTCGGCGTTGTTTTGGGAATCCTTCTGATTACTCTCATTTTTCTCAGTGCTTTCGCTCTCCTGTGGAACTGTGTCATCAAGTTTGGATTCATCATCAATTCCCTTTAAATTTTCACTGACACTGGTATCACAAAGAGTGGGCTGATCAACCTCACTTACAGCATTAGGTGTTACTGTGAAAGTGTTTTCAGCGCGTGGCGTCTGACTTCCTCCCTTTACTAACGTCAAAGTCCAGATAAATTTTCTTCGTTTTTTCTTTCGAGACGTATTCTTCCCCGCGGACTGTGCATCGTATTTAGGGTTTCTGATCTTTATTAACTTTAAGCTTGGGACCCTCGTGTCCTCATTCTTCAAAGGCAAACTGTCAATGGGTTGCACAGCTGAGTTATCAGTCTCTGACAATGACAGACCTTGGTTTTCTGGCACTGTATCATTTTTATTCAGCCTCCTGCTTTGCCTTCGTCTGTTACTTCCCGCTAATGGTTTGGCCTCTGCTGTCCGCGAAGCTTCTGACTTGGACGCTGCTAAAACAGCATCACTTGTACTCAAACTTTCTGCTGCAGGTGCGCTCACCGTGGCTCTTTTAGAGAGTGGGTTTGTGACTCTATTGCTCCTACGAGTCACTAGTTGATTAACTTCAGGACCCTGGCCAGCAGCAGTTTCCTTATGCTTTAATTTCTTTGCATGTGATTTTGGCTCTACAGTCCCGCTCTCTTTTACAGAATCAGGTTGATCAACAGATTCTTTCTCCTTTGATTTTTGGTCACTAACCACAACTTTGGCGCTAGTCTGGCATACAGGCTCTGTTGTTTTTAAAGCAGATCTCCCACGCCTTCTCACAGGTACCGTCCCCCCTCCTTTATCTTCTGTGCCATGCTCATCCTCTTGTGGTTCAGCTTTTAATTTGACATGAGCACTTAAAATCTGGTCACCCTCAATGTCCTTGGTTTTAGGCTCATCCTGATCTCCTTTCATCTTAAACTTCTTTGCAGATTTTTTCTGAGGCTCCTTTACAGTTTTGATTTTCTTTTTGGCCACCAACTTTATAGTAATCCTCGGTGCTGCTGATGAAGCTCTGCTCTTGGCGGGCTGTCGACCCAGGGTGCTTTTTCCTTTCGAACCTTTCTTGCAATCTTTTGCTGGTTTTGCTTCGAGGGACACGTCGTGCATTTGCTCCGAAGACTTTACATCTTTTATCGGGTCAGGTGGTGCAGCTGCCTTCACTGCTGGCGTTTTAAGTGGTAGCTTCTCACTTTGACGTTTCGATTTTGTGTTGGCAGCATCACCTGCAAAACAAAGGTATTAAATGAACACAAAATCGTCTGACAAAACTATATAGAAAACATATATTATATTGCATTTCGTGCTTAATTCATTTCCTAACTTGTGGGTTATTTACAAATAACACCAAATATTTCATGAGATTAAATAACAGCTTGCTCTTTACCTTTGGAAGAATTTTGTTGAGACAATATGGGTCCCTTGGAACCTTTTGTCTCAGCTTCAAATCCTTTGAAATCATCCCCCTTGAAAAATAAAACCGCAATTAACACTTGAAGCCACTTTGCACTTTGCTGGAAACTGTTAAACCATCAGGATAAACAATAACTAAAGTTGTAGGTCTCAGTGCAGAAAAAAAAAATCCTTTGCATGCACATGCTTTTAACACGTAACACATTAACAAATCAATATATGTGGATCATAGCATATCTGAACAAGGGCTTTTCTAACAATATAGCAAACAAGTCTGACTTTTTAAAATGAAACTCATCAATAGTACATGACTGTTTTGCTCTTTCTAAGTAAAGGTTGAAACCAACTACCGTCATTCATCATGGGTTGTTATACAGATATCATAAATACGTTGTGCATTAGTAACAGCAACAAAAAAAAAGAAAAAAAACATGTGGCTGAGTAGGAAAACTTCCTATAACGTTATTACATAATATAGACCGTTTACTACCTAATGCAACAAGATACGTCAACAGGTTTGATATGAATGTCAAATAAGCAGCTACGGAAAAAAAAACCTGCTGGTAAATCTTGCTATAATTACTATTCTCTTTGAGTACTGTACATCCCCATACCCACAACTGGGATCTTAACTCATAAAACAGCGCCACTCTTACGAGCTGGCATTTTACTTAAACTTTATGAGGTGAGTTTGAACGCTTTCGATTCCAACAAGGTTGCATTTGACTTTGGCACACTTCTGCACCACCATTTAAACCTGACGTGTTTGGTGACATTAGCTAGCGGTTAGCAAACCCAGCCCCCCATAAAGCATTCAACCTAATTTGTCAAAGTTATCTATGTGGTACAAATAAGCTCCGACGTATGTGCGGTCTTATTTAAAGTAACGTTAGCTAAGCAGACTACTCTGCCCGAGTCTATGCAGCATGTTAGCAGTTAGCCACTGTGCGGGGTACGGAGGCGCTATCCTTCCCCTTCTTTGTGTTCACTATTAGCTAGCTAGCTGCTACTCTGGCCCGAGTGGGCCATACATGAAATAACTGAGACTCCTGATTACAAACTCGCGTTCCCGCATAATGTGTTTTTTAACAATTAAAACTCTTACAGTTATGCATGCTATGACCCTTTAAATGTTTAAAAATTCTGGGAGCAAATTAAGCAACAGTGCTGCTGCGGTGACTTGAACAGCTTTGCTGCTTTGGCTGGAGTGCTTATTTTGTGTTACGACTGTTCATTAAATGTAATGGAGAGCTCCACTGTGCTAACACTTAGCATACAGTTTTAGCTTAGCAAGCTTGAAGCTAAAGTTAACGCTAGCCTGGAGGATGTTGACATTTCTCCATGGTACTAAGCAGTCACACTGTTGTGCCTTGCTCTCTTTCTGGTGCATTAACGATCACACAAAATGTGAGAAGATGAAATAAAGATACTAACTCCTGGGTGGGTGTGGGACCTCACCTCTTCACTCCCACTAGAGCTGTATCCAGCCTGGCCAAGGATCTTGTGGCTTTCCTGTATTCCAAGCAAGCGCAAGTGAGACTGGTCTTCGTTTAACGATAGAACCAGGTTTGCGGGCCTTGGCCCTCCGTTAGTCACATCATCAGCTTCTAAGCCCGATCGCCCGAGTTGCCAACGCTTCTCAGAGCGCAAACGACTGCGTGATGACCAAGGCCGACCGGGAAAACGACCTCTGGCCGTAGCGGTTCCACCTTGGCCTCCTACGGCAGCCGCGGTTGCTGATCCGCATCCCGCTGCCGCCATCATTGCTTCAACAACAACACACACCGACGGCTAGCAGCTCGAGGAGAGACAAGAGGGAAGGCGCGAGATGGGAGGGGGGAGCCGCAGTGCTGCACGGGAAATTGAGTTTATTTTCCCACTAAGCGAGGGGAAAGTGACGTGTACATGTGCGGTTGTACGTCAAATTGTTATGTGACACTCCTGGCTGTGGTTTAAAATTTAAATGTTGCTTAGCTGTATATACTATTAAAACATAAAAAATAATTAAATCTCAAAAAATGGTCAAATGTTGTGTCATTTTGCGTTTCAAGACAATTGGGATAATTAAATGGAACCCAACAGCGTTCAAGATCATCTTCAAAGCAGAGATGGCAACTTAGCACAATATTGTGAGTTTCGTGCTCATTTATTAGAGCAGTGGCCGTCTTTTTTAATCGCTCCATTTAACAGTATTGACAGAGGTAGCACTGAAATGAAATTTAATTGAAGGAGAAATGCGTTAAGGCTGCATAACTGAATGAATGTTTTGATAATTAAATGCGTTACATCTACCAGCATTCTTGACTATACACATAGTCAAACACTAGGTGGCAGTATGAATCCTTATTGCGATAATGAAAGGCTAACGATGAAGGTGTTTAAACCTTCATTCACTTAGTTTATTTATTGTTAATTAGGAATTAATTAACGGAGTTGCAGATCATGCCATATATAAGAGGACCTGGTTGATCAGGTTAAGGAATATAATATAATAATATAATAATAATAATATATATTATGCAAATATTCAGGTAACATCAGAGTTTTAAAAAAAAGGTTAAAGGTTGGTTAGTTCCGTTATCAGGGCTATATTTTTTTGTTTTTTTTATTTTGTATTACTATTTCCAAAAGTAGGTATTTTACATCCAAACCATGCACAAACAGAGAGCTGAATGAAATTAAACTCTTGAGTAAGTTGTTAAAACTTGCAAATGATAAGAAGGCTGTAAAATGAATTGCATTATTTGATCATTTTTTACTTATTTTGACATCAGCCCAATTTTGTTTCTATGATAAATTTGTATTTGAGTATCTATTTTCTCTTCTTAATATCTTATACTTTCTCCCTTTTTCTATTTCAATTTTATACTTATATTTTGAAGAAAATGATTGTCAGTGTTATTTTCTGAAATGGCAGACACTGGGGCTAAACTAGTCACTTAAACAGGATGGTGTAGAGGTGGCACTTTTTAAAATGGGAGCAAAAGCACCAACAGTGCTCAGAATAAAGAAAACATAATGCAGGGCAAATTGGAAAATGTCAAGAGAAGGATAAACTGGAACAGATACTCTTGAATTGAGCGCCTGTTCATTTCTCAGTTTACTGCAAGGGGTACTAATAGTGGCACTGCAGTACTCTAAGTTGTTGATATTTTTTTAAAGGGACACGTTACTAGTAAATAAAATGTAGAGAAATAATAATAATAATAATAATAATAATAATAATAATAATAATAATAATAATAATAATAATAATAATAGAAGGTGTTTCTATCGGTACCAGTGACCGTAGAAAATGTTTTTTACGGTCTACAGGTTCTTTATGGGATGGGAGCAGTCTCAAATTCTGTGATTGCAGAATTTGCAATCTGATGCACAGCCTAGTAGGTGGCGCTGAAACACCTCAGTCTTGGCGTTAGCCTTCGAAGAAGAAGAAGCTAGCTTCTGAAGAAGAAGGAGGAGGAAGTGTTGATTGTTTTGTTTTTCTTTAACTTTTGGCTGTGAAACGATAAGGTAAGATATTACATTATTACCTTAATGTACGATATTCATAATTTTGGTAACACTATATAACGACATTTACCCAATCTGGAGAGTTAGTCTGGAAACTTACAGCAAGCGATTTTGTAACGCCTTTATGTTACGTTGCTAAGCTAACGATTGCTAACTTTAGCCTGAGGTGAATTTTTCAGTCATCTGAGGAACTAGCTCAGCGGTCAAGCAGCAAAAAGCGGATTTATTATCGTCTCAGAATCAGCGGAAGAGCGTGTTTTAAATGTCTGTATAACAAGCGTTCCTTTATTTGTCAAAAAATCATTCTTTTTGGATGCTGGACAGAGCTAGTCCAGCACTGTTTTGTTTTCTTTCTGTGTGCAGGAACGTACAATATCACTATGAACCTGGAGCGACTGCCCAATGAGGAGAAGCTCAGCCTTTGCCGAAAATATTATCTAGGTGAGAGTATTAATATTTATCCTCATGTTCCTTTTTTATACAGTTGTACCTCCTATTCCTGTTTTGTTTATTCTAGGTTAGTTCCACAGGCTGTGAGTCCTTTTTTTCAGTTAAGGCAAAATTTTGAACTAATGCGCCTAAAAATATTTCAGTGGTTAGTAAATGATTATTTCTGTTTAATATTTTTATTTATTTCTCCAGGTGGCTTTGCGTTTCTCCCCTTCCTGTGGCTTGTCAATGTTGTTTGGTTTTTTCGGGAGGCCTTCTTAAAGCCAGCCTACACTGAACAGCTACAGATAAAAGCATGTGAGTTTCAGAACCTTTTAAAAATTTATTCAGTATTCAGTCTTGTAGGTTTTTCTCAGTAGCTGTTCTTTGGATGTCACTCTTGTAGGATTCAATTTGTTTCCTCAATAAACATTCAGTCATGACATATGATATTGACAAAGGTTGTCAGTGTGAATTCCATGTTCAGTTTACATGCTTGCACATTACAAAGTGTGTCTTCATCCTATTTAAAGAGTTTTGGGTAATACTGCACTTTTCATAATGCTTGAGAAAATGAAATAGTTTGTTTTTGTAGAAATAGTTGACCAAGTAACTTTTTAGATCTGGTTGTTTGTTTGTTTTTTTTACAGAAGTTGTATTCATCAATATACATGATCTCTTACCTAAAAGGGGAAAAAAGGATTTTAAAAATAAATTAGTTTTTAATAATATAGTAAGTACTTTTGCTATATTTATACAAATATAGTTCTTATGATAATGTGGCCTTGTATAGAATAATTTGGGCTTAAATTCTAATTTTCTGATAAGAACTTGAGAACGGTTTTATCCACTTTTTTTAAAAAATAAATACTGCCCTATAACCATGTATGTATTGTTTGTTTTAAAAGCAGTGCTTTAAGCAGCCAACTTGATACTGTACTGTGTTGTTTTGACCACTGTTGGACAGTAACTAATTTTATTGCTTGTTTTTCTGTCTGTCCGTCTAGATGTGAAGCGTTCGGCGCTAGGGTTACTGTTATGGGTAGCAGTGCTCACCACGTGGATCACCATATACCAGCACTTCAGAGCAGAGTGGGGGGAGGTGGGAGATTACCTCTCCTTTACCATTCCCCTAGGTATCCCTTGAGGTTGTTTTTTTTTTTTCCTCATTTCAACTGATTAGTCTTTTCAGTAAAACTAATGATCCACTGTAATGGGCCAAAAGAATTTTCTCCCTGAACAACAGTGAATGATTTTTGGCAGTTGTTTTCCTGGTTTCTGGTCAACTAAATCCAACTAAATGCAAGAATAAATGTTACCTATCTTCACAAGATAAACAATGTAAGACCCAAAACCATTTCTGTGCTCACCAAGACATTTGAGTAAGTTATTTGGCTTTAGAGAAGGGTAACTCATCTTTTGAAATAGGCAATGTTTATGATCATGGAAATTTTGTAATGATAAGATAATGAACAACTCACTAATGTTTTTGTTTTTTTGTCTTTGAACTGTTTATTGTGGTATGGTATGATTGTGCACTATTTTTACTTATGTGTGAATAAATAAAAAGTGTCCACAATGCTGCCAAGTTACAATCTTACTCAGTTGAATTTGGAAGTTGTTAGAATATTGTTATACGCAAACCTGTATAGTTGTGTTTTGTTTTTTGTCATATGTGATCAGTGAACTGTTTTGTCTCCTTATAGAATGTATATACCTCTCATTGTCACATATGCCAAATCTCCCAAAGCCCAGACGACCACTGGCGCCTGTTGTGAAATCCAATAAGTTAAGCCCTCCAAATGTCTCCACTTCCCTGTCATCCTTTATGAGTCATAACATTGAGAGCCAATTTTAGTCACAGTCCAAGCTTAAATGACACTGCTAACAGGGGGAAACGTGGCAACCATATACAACAGTTGGCTTCACTGAACTGCACTAAAAACAAAAAGCATTAACACAGAGGGTACACTAAGTAAAGCAGGCAGTCCATTTATAAAACTGACTCATCTAAACGAAATCTGATGTATTAGGACTGAAGTGGTTGAAAAGAACTAGTAAGTAGGTAAAATGTATTTATTCAGCACTTTTCACAGGTAAAATTGTTTCACATTAAAAAACAAAAATAAAAATAACATAATGTAAAACAAAATGAAAACATAAAGCAACAAGTTCATTAAAAGATTTTCTGTATAGAAATGTCTTCAGCTGCTTTTTAAAAGAGTCAAGTCCTCTGTCCCACTGCCTGCAAGGCCCGATCACCACGAATTTTTGAAACTAGTACATGTGACCTACAGCAACCTCTGACCTGAAGACCTAAGTGTTTGGGAAGAAGAACGAGCTTTCAACAGGTCAGAGATATACCGGGGAACTGACTATGTAGAGCAAAAAAGTTAAAACGAAAATTTTACAGTGAAATCTAAAAATTTGCCACTCAATAAAAATAAGCCAAAACTCGAGTAATATGCAATCTAAATGTATTTTATGATACTTACATTACATTGCTAAAGGTCTAAAAAACCTCTCATAACTATGGGGAAGGACAGTGGTTTACTGGCAGTACACGTGCTCTAGCATGTGTTTAGCACGCCCCTGCTGTCACTGTCCGTCTGGTGTCAACCAACAAGGGTTAACGTCGTCTTTTGAATTTATTTTTGGACAAACCTTCCTTGACAACCAACCTTAGGCATATAGCTCTTAACAGCTTTGATAGTTACACATGAATAGTCCGCGTTGGTGCCACTGACCGTGTAAAAAGGCTGCATGCTGTAACTTTGATAATGACCAATAACAACGTTAATTAACAATAAGCCTGCAACAGCTGTGTCACTCTCAAAATAATAGGCCTACACATTTATCTGGGACCATGCCGGAACACCCAAGGGTACGCAGTCCAGAACATAACAGAAGCAAGGTGTCCAAGGATGAATTCCCAACTTATTATGCAACTCCACTATAAAACACACGGCACGCAACAAGTCAGTCTCATCCAGGAGCCAAGAGGCGAGAGAGGAGAGAAGCACAGAGAACACAAGCGCTGTAACTAGAGCTCTTCTTTCCACTCGTTGCGCAGAGAATTTAAGCAAAGGTAACTGCTCAGTGCTTTATGTGCTAGCCTCAGGTGCTGTAGGCTTAACTGCTGTTTAGTCAGCTCTTGATTTTTCAAACTTTGTGCCTACTAGAAATGGACTTCATCCTGCCACCCACTATGCCAGCTGGTGGTATCCCCTGGGAGAAGGTTTTACCACCTCTTATTCCACGGCTCTACGGGACTTATGGACAATATAATTGGTCCCCAAAATTAATCATTCCAGAGACTGATAATGCCAGCTCTGCAGAGGTAGGTCACTTAATTTATTTACATTTTATACTAACATATGTTAGTATAAAATGTCCATGGTTCTCATTTTAACTCATTTTACACTGTGAACCACATACCCACTTAAGGCCAGGCTGTGTTGTAAAACCTTTGAAACTCCCCTTTCTGTCAATGTAAAGAGGTTTAACCGGCAGATATCCCTGATTTATCTTAGTATAAGAAAAAAAAAAAAATTAAACAATACATCTGATAAAGAAATCCTGCTGTAGTAAATTTAAGACATCTGTCATCAAGGCTCTTAAATTGTAAAAAATTAATGTGTAAAATTACAGAAAGAGTCCTATTACATACTGTCCTGTAATAGTAACACTTATTCACAGATTTATTTATTTTTAATACTTTAGTGCAGAAATAATGGCCATGAGGGAGGTATTTATCAGGAGTAAAAGCTGTTAAACCACCAAAAATACAGGTAAAAAGTATCCCCTCCACATTTTCAAAAGAAGTTCAGCGGATCAGACTGGAGTCTTTGTCAGGCCAATTCTGGCCCCTGGACATGTTTGACAACCCCTGGCTTAAAGTAAAAGGAAAAAAAGGAGTCCTTTACATTTTTCTGAGCTTTCAGTCAGATCCACATCTTATTGAAAAGCTGTTTTCAGTTTCCCCACACTGAAATATGGTTAAGGATATCTACTGAGTGCAGGCTGCTGTAAAGAACTTTATGTCTTGTTTAATCATGCAGAAGTGTTGACTCCTGTTGTTAGGTGACCTGTGATGACAGCGGATTTACAGTTCAAGTTGATGTGAAACATTTCAACCCAGAGGACCTGATCGTCAAAGTCATAGGAGACTTTGTAGAAGTGCAAGGAAAGCATGAAGAGAGAAAGGTTGGTATGCTGAGGTACATGGATATTTTTTCTCCATTTTTGTGTTACACGTCTCACTTTTCATCTCTTTTATGTTAGAAGGACGGTCCTGGATTTACAACACGGCAGTTTAACCGTCGCTACCGCATTCCAAAAGGAGTGGACACCATGGCTTTGGAGTCGGCGGTCTCTCCAGATGGGATCCTTATCATATCTGCACCTATGCTGCACACTCAGAGCTACACACCTCTTACTTAAATTGCACTAACAGGCGACACTAAAACCTCTGCCATCCTTACCGTACACAAAAATAAATCAGCGGAAGCCTTTATGGTCACTGACAAAAACGGCAATAACTTCAAGCTTCTGCACTCCCAGCAGAACTTGGTATATGCCAAAACACACATCTGCTCTGTTCCTGGCACGGTTCTAATGTTCCCTGCACTCCAAGGTTTGTATATACTGCTCTGCTAGTACTCAATGTTACATAATGTTTCAAGTAACCACTCTACTTTGTAAATATTCTCTGTTAGCATTTCCAACTCCTGCTTTTTGTGTGCAACTTTTGTACATGCACAGTGTTGTGAATAATAATCCACTGAGACACATCTCCAACCTTTATTGTAGAAAAATGTCCTCAAAAATATAAATTAACTTTATTTCTTTATAAAATAAAAAAATAAATAAATGTGACTACACAAACTGTCTCTTGATGTTCTTCAAGTAACTTGTTGTTCTTCCACGAATTCATTTAAGATGGAGTCCACCTCACTAACAAAAAAACAAACAAACAAAACAACAACAACAAAAATCATTCTTTTTCTGGTAATCGACTCTATTTACATGACTGTCAATTGATTCCAATAGATTATAAGAAAAAATTAATGCTAGAAATATAAACAGGAAAGGATTCTAATCATTACAGTAATGGTGATAATCTAATTCAGTTTTACCTGATCTGCTCCTTCACCCATTTTCTCTGTTTGCGAAGAACTTGTAACAAAGGATCATCTCCAAACTCTTCTTCATCCGAATCTAAAACAAAAAGTTTAATCTGAGTGAGAGGACAGATACTACATTATTATAAGCTTATGCTTAAAAAAGGATTGAGATAACAGTTTTTTTTTTCTATGTTAATTCCCTTGACACAAAAAATACACCAACAAAAAAAAAAAAAAAAACAGTTGTAGGGTTTTTGAACTAAAAGGTTAAAATATGGGAAAAATCATCTATTTATGTAATCACCGCAGCTGTTTACGGGCTAAAGACTGGTGCCTTTTGCCACCATAAGCTTACCTTCGGCCTCTTGCAGCAGCTGTGAAATGACCTCCATAGAGTTCAGCGCATTGCTTGGAGGAATTGGCGGTGGTGAAGGTGCAGAGACGGTGCAGGAAGGAGAATCAGATGAAACAGGAATCTTTTTTGGAGAAGAGGAATCCACCGTAGGAAACAGTACCTCTGAAACTACCTGTTAAGGTCAAATGAAAACACCCCAGTTAATGCATATTAATTACCTTGATCACATTGAACCTTATGACTAGTGTGGCATCTAAAAAAAGATGTGCGGACATGCATAGTGAAGGTAGACCTGTAATTATATTCAATAAAAACTTGTGTGTATTTTATTTAAATATTTCATATACAGTCTTCTAAAGACCAGATCTGTCAATGGCCTTTACAAATGATTAATTAAGATTTGTAAACAATCATAAATTGCCAAAGTCTGAGAACAAACACACAGCTTTCTTTCACTTTATCAAATATACTGCAGAGATGTCACAAATGTGGGAGAAGAGAAAAACGGAAAAGACCAAATATGCACACAACCTCTGTGGCTTCAAATAAAGAAATAAAATTGCACATTTGCATGTTTACCTGTCCTAATGCATTGCGGACAGGAGATGGTGGTGGTTCATGATCACCAGCACAGCTTTCACTGGGAAGCTCCTGTCTTCTCTCTGGTTGCTGCTGCTCTTTACATGATGTGACCTTTTTGGGAAGCTTTTGATGTAATGAATTCCTGTTTGTGAAGAATAAATCCCACAAAATGTTAACGGTATCAAACACATATTTTTATCACTAAGACTTTTAAACAGTGCCCATGTTTCAATAATTCACCTTGCTGATTTCTTTTGCTTTCTAGCAAGTGCTGCTTCCTCCTTCCCATTTACCTCTGATTGCTTCATCCCCATTTTCTTTTTCTTGTTCTTCTCAGACATTTTTTGGTGATCAGGCCACTCTCTCTCAGATGGCGCAGGTAGAGTGAGTGACATGCGTTCACAAAGAGTTAATTCTCCAAGGCTTTCAGGGACTTGGGTCTTTTTGTGAAGAACTTTGGTTTGTGACTCATCTAACCTTTGTGAAATGCTCTGGTGCACTTTGGCATGAGATGACTGGATGGGACATGGCAAGACGTCACAGAGAAAATGCATGTGGGAAGGAACATGGGCAATGCTCTGCGGCTGAGGGACTGAACCAGAAACATTGATGGTGGGGAATAGCGAAGGGCCTGGAGCTGGGGGACAGAACCTCTGGGCCTCAGTGGTTTCTGGCTGGGCAGCAGTGATGTGTGAATGAGTATCTCTTTGTGAGAATTGAGGGGGTTGGGTACCCTGCTGTTCCTGAAGAGCAAATTAATGTTATTCTGTAAATTTGTGCAAAGAATATGGATAATGTAACAAACAGTTTGATTCCAACCTTGTAAGCTTGTTCACTGATGGAGGAATAGCTTAACCTCGTGGACTGCCAACCAAATGCATGAGGACTGGAGGCTTGCACAGACAGGGGCCTCTCTCTGGCTTGCTCCATTTTCCTCCTTAAACGCCACTGGAACAATATGTCTTCCTCTGGACGGGTAGGAGGCACCAAAGAAGGCATGACAGATTTTTGGAAGGACACACCATGAGCTGAGTCTGAGCTGGCCTTTGCTGTAAATGTTAACACACAGTTTAAAACACAGCAGCACGTAAAATAGAATCTGTCTATAAATAACAAAAGGTATTCTAGTCCACACTCTTCCCCTACCAGTAGTATTTTTGAATAAACTGGGAATCAAAGGTTGCTTCACTGGCTCATCTATACTGATGGGAGAGGAGAAATCTGAGCATCCCAGCCCCTCTGAGCTGACAGGGACAGATCCATCACTCACAGAACATTCACTGTTAGAAAAAAAAAAGTTACTACAACTGAAGCCATTTATCTTTAATATTGCTCAACAGTCTTCATACCCCCTCAGAAGAAGTCTGCTGGCCTTTTCTTGAAGGTGCAGGATCTCCCTGTCATCAAAATCACCCTGGGATGTGTCGGACAAAAGCTGGGAAACAAAAAACATGTTTTTTCATATAAAGACTTGCAATACCGTGTAAATAAATCCTCACAAATAAATACATAAATAAATAAACACCGTTTGCAGGATTTTAATTAAACGGGTGATGCATTTGTTCTTAGCAGGCTGAACAACGTGTCAAATCTGGTTGCATAAATGGCGACTACCCAGGCATTTAATAAACACATAGACTTCCAAATGGAGTGTGGTGCTGAAATGGAAATGTTTATATGCAAACTTAGTTGGAAGAAAGTGTTGCTTCTGCAGACAATCAGAATCCCAGGCACTTTGGACATGTGTGGTGTAAATCAAGGGTAAATGTAAACCCTATAATCCACTGTGACGGCATACACAAACAATAAAAACTGAATAATTGGTGGTGCCTTTCCCCCCGATCTTATGGATGTGTTATTTTTTTTCAAGAAACAGAAGCAGATTTGCTGCAAAAATTGATAAATTATGGCTTATTTTTTCTTAGCTTATAAATACAACTCACACTATTGGATCCTCTGTAGGGAGAAGGGGATCTGTTATGGTCACGCTGTGCAGATGGATCATAAAGAGCAGCATCCTGGTCCTCTTTCAGAAGTTGGATAACATCTTTTCAGAGAAATGCAGTACACAGAAAGATTTGATAGAATTAAGCAGCTGGTAACGGGGAATAAAATACACCAATGACCGTAAATATAATGCACCTTCGTCTGCTGTTTTAGTTGGTGTTGAACTGCTGAGAGATGAATGTGACATCCACCAAAAAGGTGCCTGCTCTTCTCCACTTGCAGAAGCCACCTGATGGCGCTCCTCTCGACTCTGTGGCCGACCATGGCGAAAACGCTCTACATATCTGACAAAGCAAAGGTCAGATTTAGTTACAAGAAGTCACATGCAAAATGAAATAAAAATAATCTGGGTCACTATGACATTGTCATCTAATCATGAAAAATTGTCCCGTTGTCACTGTGAAACTATTTTTTAGTTCTGTTTAAGAAAATTACAGAAGGCATTAAAACATACTTTGCCAGCAAAGAATCCTCCTGGCATCCTTGAACTTGGGAAACACTGGAATTCCCCATTTTTCCAGATTGTTTGGGTTCGTCCATGTCAGATGAGGCAGTATTTCTATCAGGACAGAATTCAAAGACAGTGGAGGCCTGGGACTCTTTAAGAACAGGTTGTCCATCAATGGAGGAAAAACGGTCATGCTTCTTAGACAGCTGCTGGCTCTCTTGGTTTAGATTATGTAACTTTGTTCTGGATCGCTGGTTTAAACGTACAGGACTTCGTGTCTGCAAGAAGAACAAAAAGGATATATATATCACAATGAGAATCTGTTTTTCTTACAGTATATTAAGTGTTTTTGAAATAAAACATACAGTTTTTTTCTCTTTCTTTGAAAGGGGTTGGTTGCTGGATGGGTGGTAGTGTGCCGTCCTCACTTTCGGTGCTGGTGGGAAGGGATTCTGCTTTGTGAGCACAGGTCCACTGTAAGAAGAACACATATTACTAACTATAACTTCTTCTGTTTAGGGTGCTACAAAATGTGTCATTAGATCCTCACCTGGAATTCATAGCAACCTTTGGAGGTGACCGATGAGACATCAACGACCACAAGAAAGCGCACACAGTTTCAACGTGGGCTTGGTTTACCTCGTGCACCCCAAATCATATCTAGACTGACGTGTTAATCTGAGTGGATTACTTAGCTAACAAAAAGACGACGGCCCCATTACTAAACTCTTCCGAGTTTACTTGTCTACACACAAAGTTACTTCAAATGCCAGAAATTCCCTTTAAGAATATAAATTACGCTTCTGCGTTATGCTCTATGAACATCTATTTATCATTCAAATTTAACGTTCTGACTAAAAACATAGTAACTTCGCGTTTATTTTACAAACCCACCACATTCTCGATGACAGTGGAAGAGAGCTTTTGTTGTGTATCCCGAACGTTATTTACTACACGACATACAGCCAATAGGGAACGAATTAAAAATGATTGATATAACATTTGACCAATCATATAGGCGGCCCTGTTTGCACAGGCACCAATCAGCTAATAGGAAATTGGCAGCGCGCGGAAGAGGAAAGTCTAGTAAGGTTATGCGTTTGTCAAAAATAAGCTAAGTTAGCAACAGTAGTTTGGCCATCACTCCACAAACCTTGGTATAAATCATAAACGACTATTGTGCTGTATCTTTCTATTAACTATATGGAAGTCGATAGGGATAACCGTTATTTGCTTAATGGTTTTAATAGCTAAACGTAAATAACGTTATATAGCTTAACTGTTAACCAGTGGTTAAGGCTAATGCAGCTAACTGGTTGTAAACGGTACTACACAGCTAGCTTGACTAACGGCGCCGTTAGCAAGGAATCAAACATAATTTATTGTAAATCTAAAGAATCGAAACAGCAAAAGTGTGGTTTTAAAAGTCCGTCAGTTCCCACGGGGTGTTTATAGAAAGGCGGACAAAATGCAACATGTCAAGATCAAGACGGAAAGGCCAGGTACCAGCAGCTCTCAATATTTCCTGAAAACGTTTCAGATTTTCCAAATTTTGTGTGGTATAAATTCTTGTTATTGTTTTGGAGTACATTCGCTTGTAAGCTTGAGTGGTTCGGATTATACAGGATTCTTAAAAGCTAAGTAACAGGTGGCGAGTGTCACCTAAAGTGAGTATTGTTGTTGTCAATAATTATTTCATTATTACTTTTGCAGACTTAGACGGGGCTGGTGCACGCAGCAAATTAGATGCTGTCTTAAAGGGACTGGTGGAGAAGAGTGAAAATGAAAGGTTAGCAAAATTATTTGTTTTGCATATAATTATTACAGAATTTATTTATTCTTAATAACAAAACTAATATAAAGATGTTTTCAGCAGGGAACAAAATGAAGGTGATCCAGGAAAATTGTCAGCCGACTCTTTGAACAAGTATGGACCAGTGATTTTGGCTTTATTTAGTTTTTAATGATCTACTAACATAATATTTTACAATTGGGTGTGCTGATTCAATGATTTTATTTCAACATTTATTTTTTAATTGAAATTTCTGCATATTCCACCTGTTGTCTCTAGGGATTTATCGCCAACATCGGCTGGAAAAAGGCAAGTATTTATGTTTTAATTAAACTTGACTTGTCAGTAACTTTTTTTCTATTTAGTAAGTAAAATTTTATTTATATAGCACCTTCCAAAACAAAGATCACAAAGTGCTTCACAAAGAAATACAAGGGCATTTAAAACAGGGCATATTTAGACTTTTTTTATCTGTTTGTCTGGAAATGAAAATATAATTTTACGTAAATTCTATGAGAAATTAGTTTGAATCTCTTTTAAGCTCCAAAAATATATTACTTAAAATTTTTTTTTTTTTTACAGACCGTCGGCTCGATTTCCACAGCACCGGAGAAAGAAGCGAAAAGAGATGGATGAGAGCATTCCAGAAAGCAATCAGCATAAACAAAGTAAATGAATGAAAAATGATTGGAATTTTTCTTTGATGTACCTTGGTTACTGTGTAACCATCTTGTCTGTTGCACTTGTGACCATTTTCTTACCTTTAATTAATTTTTCTCTTGTTCTCCCTTTACTAGATGCTTACATTATTAAGTTGTTTGACCGCAGTGTGGATCTGGCTCAGTTCAACACTGCCACCCCACTGTATCCTATCTGCCGTGCATGGATGAGGAATAATCCTTCCGTTCGAGAACCAGCTGCTTCCCCCAGCTCCCCACAGAGCATGGTAGAGGAAGAGGTGGGGTCATAAATGGATAAGATGCTGGAGATTTTATTCAAATGTACAACCAACAAATGCACAAAAAAACACAGGGGCACATTGATTTAAATTTAAACGTATCTCTTACATCTACGGTAACTTAAAATGAGGTCTTTTAAATTTTGCTAATGTGAAATTTTGCAGGGTAGAGTGTAAGGGCCCTTTCACATAGGATGTGGCACGCGCAGCCCTGCACTCTTAATCCCATTCATTTCTATTGCTTGCGCCACACATTAACGTTGTACCGCTGTGCCAACCAAAGCATGCGTGTTGTGACTTACCTTCACGTGACCAATAGAAACGATGCCTACAGCTGCTCTAAGTTTAACCAAATAATGAAAGGAAACATTCTGTGCGTATCTGAGTTCTGTGAATTTTTTGGCACAGGTTTATGTGCATATATAGGGATCTATAGAGCCTTTGAGTAAGTAATTCATTTCAACGACTGTGGGGGCCTAAGAGGAAAGCAGTGTTGAGGAAACGATACGCTCTTCACTAGTAGGATAGTTACAAAGCTTTGTTCTTTATGAATGAGCAACACATTTTTTTAAAATTTTAATTAAACATCTTGCAGACGATATGAAGTCAGAGACATACATGTTTTGAAATGAAAAGGAGCAGACGCATCTAGTATATGTAGAGCGGCCACAAAAGATGACACACAATCAGGGCGCAGCAACCAGTGCAACACAAATTTGGGGTCCTTTGCTCTAGTTAGCGGTTAGCACAGGTCATGCCACATCTACTGTTAAAGGGTCTTATCTCTTTTGCAGTCTCATAAGTTGATTATTATTAATATTTCACAAGGTGTAATGTAATTAAATTAATTGTTTTCAAAGTAACTGCAGTACGCTGTGTGCCAAACTATTGTCTCCTTTTGTTTTCCTTAGTGCAAATGTAACTGACTTGTTACACATGTTTTAATCAACGTTATCTGAATAAGACATAATGAAATTGTTTTTAATGGATGATCCCTACGGTGACAATATTTTTGAGTGAGGTTGTTTATGAGAGGAAATGGTGCATAAAATGTATTTGAAACCTGATTGAATCTGATTGTGTACTCGTACTTTTGTTTTAGTCAATGCCTCCCCAAAAACAAAATGGCATGTTATGGTATTAATAAGTATTGTTATTGGAAATAAGCGTTTAGTAGTATTCTTTTTTTTTTTGCCCTAGGTTACAGACACAATCAACGGTAAAGGTCAGAATGTTTACCGACTTCCTCCTCCGACCGCCTGTCCAATCAACTCCTCTGGTGAACCCATCAATCTCAGGATCCCACCTACTGAAAAACCAACTGTTACCAAGGTTCTTGTATAATATGCCTTTCACCAAAGTTATTATTGCATTGTGATTTATTTAATTTTACAGATCTGTTCATACATGAAGGTCTTCAGTAAGACAAAACCATAAATTTTAACTACCTCTCTTTTCACAGTTGACAGATGTTGCTGTGTCAGGTTCTCTCATATGTGACCACATGGAACGTTGGAAAAAGATAAGGCAAAAGTATGTTTTTCTTGAAAAGTCATTTATGACAAAAAATAATATGTTCTTGGTTTGAAATGATTTAGTCACACAATGTAAACAACTAACTTTGTTCAAGGCTTCACCTCTGGACGTACTTATTCAGATGTTATTAATTTCACCAACTCTTTAGGGAGAAAGGGGTGTAACACTAATGACCAGGTACAAATGAGTGTAAGCAAATGTCAAATCTTTTAATGGATAATGAAAAGTTTTTACAGCGTGATTTACCACAAGAGGACAGCAACAGGCTGAATAGAGCTAACAAAGAAATGAATAAATGAGCTGTTTTGACTAACTGTTGAAATCCAAATTATAAGATTATAAGATGATGTAATACATGTTTAAAATAATAAATTAATATTTAATCGTCTAAACATAAACATAAATAGCATTTTTTTTAAACAAAACTATTTTTTCCTTGTAATGTCAAGGTGTGAGCTCAGCACAGAGCTGTGTGTGGTACTGTGGTACAACCAATGTGCCTGTGAAGTAAAACTGCCTCACAAAAACAACATTTGTCAATAACAGACGGTGTAGTTATTCCATGCATTTTTTAAATATAAATTATAATATAAATAAATTTAAATATAAATTTTAAGTATTCCTGAAAGACACCTATATGTTATCTGATCAGATTTGGGCTCAAACAGGTGGATTTGTGAAGTTAGTCATTGCACCTTTCACAGTTTGATTTCACAGCTTGTGCAAAGCCAGCCAGTCAGCATGTTCAGTGACTCTAGAAAGTCAAAAGAAAGAAAGAAAAGATAAAACAAGGGCACAGGTTTTACAATAAACTGAGCCATGGATATTGAAATGTAAAAATATGACCTTCAATAATGCTCAGACTTAAAGTTCATCTGCCAGTGTTTACTCTGTTCAGTGTCTTTGGTGATTGATGAGCTGTCGTCTTGTGGGTATGAAGTAATCTTTGTCATGGGACCCAAAATATAGCTTTGCAAAGTTTGATCCTCCATGAGTGCGACTTGCTGTTTAATAACTTTATTGAATTAAGAAGGGAGACTGAACAGTAAAATTTAGTATGTGCCTGTTTCATTTGGAAACAGCTGGACAAAAGGAGCGATCACAGTTGAGCAGTTGTGGGAAAATTACTTCAAAAGGCTGGCTCATAAAAAATTGAACATTTAGCCCACCTCTGAACTACCATTCCTCCTCCTTATAATATTGTTATTGCTGGATGAAAACTGTGTATGAATTTTCAGTTAGAAATGTTCAAAATCAGATTTTGTTATGTAGCAAGCATCATGTATGAAAGTTTTTATGAATCTTTTAAGAAGGAAAATAATATAATTTCAGTTTATTTCAATGAAAAGGTAAAAGGTGCACAATTAAACTATTTCTTTTTTCTTTTCTTTTTTTCCAAAGATGGAAGGAGTGCTCCAACAAGAATCAATTAAGATACAGTGAGAGCATAAAGGTCCTTAAGGAAATGAAGGAGCTCTATGATCACTGACTGGCTACTCTGTAGCTCTCCAGTACAGAGAGGACTTTGTTTGAAAGAAGCAGTCAGTGCTTGAATACACCTGTTTCTACACAGTCTGATTCATAGAAAAGCGTGTACATTTTTTTTTTATTAATTTGTAAAAATCTAGTGTATACGTCTAACTGTTTCATCAGTAGTACTTTCCAGACACAATGACTTGTAAAATTTCAAGATTAATGAAATGTGTATTAAAGTGCTTTAATATAAATCTCTTCCACTTTTAGTTTTACTTCTTTAATCTTGGCATATGTTAACGAGCATCCTGCAGGTAATGAGGTATATATCATGACTCATTCTTTCATTTGTATTCACGTCACACTTATAATAGTCATTGATGAAGTACCAAAACCTGCTTATGTTTTAAAATTTGCATGTCATTTTGTATAGAGTAAAATACACAACTGCAAAATTCTTGAGCCACTTTTCATAACTTTATATTTTGGACTCTCTTAGGCAAGCTTTCTTGTCATTTCTTTAAGTAGTCTCCAGGTGTAGTTCTCCAGGCTTTTTGAAGAACATTCAAAGCTCCA